GCGCGGGGGGGGGGGAGTCTAGACACGGAATAATCCAGGGCCAAGAATCACTGAGCTTGTGAAAGGGGACCTGTCATGTATTTTCAGTGAGTTCTGAATCACAGGGGATCAGAAATCTGTTTGTATGGAAATACATTTACTTTTTTTTTTTCCTGACTTGAGTGGGGCATTACATTCAGTTACTGAGGACTGACTCCATACCTCTGCTGGAGGTCTGTGCCAAGTATCAACCACTCTTTCAGTAGAATAACACTTTCTACGGTTAGTTTAGCATTTTCCTGCTGCTAGTTTGAGGCCATGTCCCCGTGTTCTTGATCTTAGCTTCATATTGAAAATCCCGCCCTCCTGAACCTTATTCACACCCTTCATGGATTTCAAAGGTTCCTGTCATGTTCCCCATTAATCTTCTTTCCTCAAAACTAGACCTATTAGGTTTCTGCAGCCTCTCCTGATCAGTTATATCTGTCAGACCTTTCACCATTTTCTGTAGCCCATTTCTGGATTTGTTCTGTCTTGTAAGTGAGGTCTCCGGAACTGGACACAGAATTCTAAATGAGGTCTAATATAAGATCTATATAGATCCTCCCTAACCCTAACCCTAACCCTCCTGCAGAAGATCCCTCTAGGAATAACTAAAGGTCTATATAGGGGAATCAGGACCTCCTTCCTCCTGCTGGAGATCCCTCTAGTGATAACTAAAGATCTATATAGAGAAATCAGGACCTCCTTGCTCCTGCTGGGGATCTTTCTCCTCGTGCACTCCAGAATTCTATTCATTTCCCCACTGCCAGGCCAACACTGTTTGCTTATTCTGCAATCTTCTGTAATAATCACCCCCAAAATATATATCTGTAAAATGTAATTTCTTCTCTAGGCAATTTCAGCATCTGACATGGAAGCAAAGCTGGCTTGCGGCCTGGTGAAGGGCCACGCCTACGCTGTAACCGATGTACGAAAAGTGCGCTTGGGCCATGGGCTGATGGCATTTTTCAAATCAGAGAAACTTGATATGATCAGAATGCGCAATCCATGGGGAGAACGAGAGTGGAACGGGCCTTGGAGTGACAGGTAATTCTGCACCAGTAGTGGTTATGGAGATGGGGAGGGGTTATGGAGATGATGAGGGGGAGGAGTAATGGAGATGAGGGGAAGTGGTTATGTTGATGATGAGATCAGGAGGAGGGGGAGCAGATCAGGAGGCAGGATTATGGAGATCAGGAGGGGGAGGTAATCAGGAGGAGGGGTTATGAAGATGAGGAAGGGGAGGAGGTCAGGAGGAAAGGTTTATAGAGAGGGAGTGGTTATGGAGATGAGAAGAGGGAAGAGATCAGGAGGAGGGGTTATGGAGATGAGAAAGGGGAGATCATCAGGAAGAGGATTTATGGAAATGAGAAGGGCAGGTGTTCAGGGGGAGAGGTTATGAAGGGGAGGAAGGGGAGGAGGTCAGGAGGAAGAGTTATAAAGATGAAGATGGGGAAGAGATCAGGTTGAGGGGATACGGAGATGAGGGGGAGGGGTTATGGAGATAAGGATGGGTCAATGTTCTTTGTAATGCTTAGGAATTCAGAGCTGGAATTATTACGTGTTATTTATTGCATGCATTTATACAGTGCGGATGATGTACACAGTGCTTTACATACTACTGCACATTGACATCAGTCCCTGTACTCGAGGACTCGGAGCTTGCAGCCTAAGGTCTCCATCTCACATGTATACACGCGCAGACATACTAAGGCCAGTTTTTTTCATTTGGACTGGGATAACTAAATTGATCAGATCAGAGCAATCTGGCTGTGTCTGGGTATTTGTCCTGAGAGAAGTGTGAGGGCTGCTGGGTTGTCAAGAAGAGGGGGGCAGTTGGGGTGTCAATGTCTATGATTAGTGAGAGGGGAGTTGGGGTGCCATTGTATAATGCTCATTGGGGGTGGAGTTGGGATACTGGTGTATCTCCTCTATGGAGGGGAGAAGTTGGCATATCAGTGTATGTGCTCACTATGGAGGGGAATTGGGGTTCTCCCAGTGAGGGGTGAGTTGGGGTATCAGTGTATATGTTTAGTGAGGGTTGTGGTATCGGTTTCAGACAATATTTTTAAAGCTGGAAAAATCCAAACCCTTTCCCATCTTACTAAACAAAAGTGTTTTTATGTCTGCCTGTGTCCCCATGGGAGAGATTTCCATACACTTCCCATTCGGTGACTATCGGTTATAATGTCAGTTGGAATCTGAAAGTCATGATAGGTGGCAGTGAATCCATTGAGACACTTATTACTAAAACACTGACACAAGAGGATGAGTAAGTTTATATATCAATGCCCCACTTACAGAAAATCTAAATTGTGGGAGTGGCGCGCATATTTCCTCTGTGTCACACGGCTGTCCTTATCCTCCGCAGCTCAGAGGAGTGGCAAAAAGTGAGCAAGAGCGAGCGGGAAAAGCTTGGAGTCACAGTGCAGGATGACGGCGAATTCTGGTAAGTTCTCTGCTTGCAAAAACGTTTGCCAATTTTTATGCAGTTTTTGAAAAACAACTTAACACTTGTAAGTATATGTGTGTCACAGGGACATGCGGTCACCTAGTATTATGAAGGAAAAAGCTGTCGGCTTCAAGTCTAAAGTTTACAGCTTTTTCTCCATTCAGAGCGGCTTGTTACAGGTTACACAGAAGGGAAAGCCTCCCCGCCGTGTAACCTGTCATGGATGTGGGCACTACTACTTGATAAAGTAGTATGTGGGCACTACTACTTGATAAAGAAACAAACATTATTATATGTTTTTCTAAAGAATAAATGACAATATGAAATGCAGATATACTAATGTTATGTTCTTCATATAATAGGAGGTTCTCTTGGGAGAAACTACTTTTCAGAAACATGTTTTTGGAGCATCTCTTGACTCCTTGAAATATCTAGGAGCACCTTGTTCTATGTTCCACATTGAGAGCCTGGGTAGCGGCCAAGTGTTCCAAAGAACAGGATGTGATTACTAAGTAGATCTGAAGCGGGGTTAAGAATTATTTGCATCTTAGCTGACCAAATTACTAATGTCATTTAAAAAACATCCAACCCTTCTGCTTGGTAAAAAAACACTGTTCTTGGTGTCCCCAGTTGACCGTAATTTTCCACCACCCCACTCCACTCTACCCGTCTATATGTTCTCTTTTTCTCTTCTTCTTTTAATACTAACTCTTTTTAGATGTCTCCCAGATGTGCTGGGTCTTCTTCCTCTTCTTCAGATCTTCTGCCAGCAGTGGTCAATCCTGAAGGATGCAGAGAGCGCCACTGACCTGATAACATCAGTACTGCTCTCTGCTTAGGGGGGGGGGCAGTCCCATGACACCCAGCACTCACAATTTGTCCTCAGTCTTCTGGGTTGAATGACGCTGGTTGTCATTTAACCCGGAAGACCGAGGACATCTTGTGGCGGAACTGGATTACTGCGGGGTACAACCGAAGAAAGTAGGTGAGTATTACAGCTAGAGCTGCTTTCTTTTTCGGCTGGGGGACCATTACATATATGTAGAAAACAGCCCAAAGTTAGTCTTTAAGTGTTGATAGGTTGGTATGTTTTTCAGGATGACTTTTGAAGATTTCTGCAAATACTTCACTGACATCATCATGTGTAGACTCATAAACACGTCGTATTTGAGCATTCACAAGACCTGGGAGGAGGCGGTGCTGCTGGGTGCTTGGGTCAGGCATGAGGACCCTTTGAAGAACCGATCAGGGGGCTGCATGAATAACAAGGCCACCTTTCTCCAGAACCCCCAGGTGAGAACTGACCAATGGTGCTGTAGCAGGGAAACCTGTTCTGTGTTCTGTTATATTGCATCGGTGTCCAGATGTATCCCCTGCACTCCTTACAGCGTTTAGGACCATACAGTAAATTATGGTGCTCGCAGTGATGGTCACGGATGGCACCTTGCAATACCAAGTCTTCATGCAAATGAAGATCACCAGCACTCGAATACTTGTAAATTCTTGTTTCTATTTATTTCAAAAGCTACGTCACGTGCAAAAACCAACGTTTCGGGGGCCACGCAGGGTCCCTTTATCGGGGCGACATAGTGACCCAGGAGTATAGTGCATTCAGGACTCCATTTTCATGTTGATGGCAAAGCTTGTGTCCCATTGGGTGACCCAGGAGTATATTGCATACTCCATTTTCTTTTTTTTTTTAACAATGAGTTTATTAGGTTTTGTCAATAGAACAAGAATAATAACAAAAATAATACAACATAGTTACAGACATATAGAAAATAAAATCTTGCTATTGATACATAAACAATATCAGTATATAGAAGGTAAATAGTAAGTTATATCGTTATAAAGCAGTATTCCAGGTCATCCGTTAAACAATTATATAGAAAAGGCAACATTAAGTGAAATTGCAGCATTAATAATTAGTTAGCAAGTGTCATAACTGGAAAAGGAAGTCATATATAAGTATACCTCTATAGGAGAGAGCCCAAATGTAGACCATATTCAGGACAGTAAGCGGAAGTAGCGTTCTTCCATCCATCTCAAAATAAAAAGCATGTGATGACTGTGGAGGTCTAAGAAGTGACAAATATACGTAGAAGCCGTATAATATCACTTTTAGGAGTATTAGTTGGGGTCATAATACCTGGGTCAGGCATCTGGTGTCTGCCAACCAGCAGGCCCATTGTAAGGTGAAATTGCGGAGTTTCATATTAGCTTTTGCAAACAAAAATTCAAAATGGACATGTGTGTTTAATATTTGTACAACTACACTGAGAGACGGAGGTTCCAATTGTTTCCAGGCCCGTGCTATTGCCAGGCGAGCAGCTATAAGGATGTGTGAGACTACAGTTCTAGAATCAAAAGGCCATTCATGCAGTCCAATCCCCAATAAGGCAAGTTGTGGGGACCCATGGCAAGGAAGGTGAGTAACTGTGGAAATAAAGGAGAAGATCGAATCCCAAAAGGATCTGATGGAAACACAAGACCACCAGATACTGTATGTATCAAGGAGCCAACAATTCCACAATTTTGCCAACAAAGCGGTGAGGATGAGGGATAAATTGTTGCGATTTTCTGTGGTGTAAAGTACCACTTGTGTAAAAATTTCTGTAGGGATTCCCAGTGGCTCAAACATCTCGATGTTTTCAAAGGCCATGAGATCTCTTTGTACCATTGTTCCTGCATACTCCATTTTCATGTTGATGGCAAAGCTTGTGTCCCATTGGGGAGATTTTCCTGAACTTCATGTCCTGAAGATACCTGACAGGCCCAACACCCACCCCTGTGCTCTCTGTGTGACTGATGGTGCTAGTGTGTGTGATGTGTGACTCGGAAGCACAGAAGAGTAGATTAGGAGCAATTGTGGGACTGTGGTTGGTGGTGTCATCAGCCAAGACCACCACATTTCCCCGGTCTTCTTTTCTGTTCTTTTGAGTCCTGCAGAGGACTTATAAGAATGATCAGCCACACTGAACTTCAAAACTGACTGTACTAATGTTTGCGCCAAAGTTGGTAGTAGGCCAGGCCTACAACCCACTGCTGACCCATTGGGGCCCAGTACAGGAGTACTGCCTATATCTCCCTATCAACAGCCCTACTCCCATATCACAAATATGTCTTTCTTATGTCTTCCCTTCAGTTTGTGTTTGATGTGAAGAAACCGGAGGATGAAATTCTCATATGCCTACAACAGAAAACCAAAAGGACCACACGGAAAGATGGGAAAGCACAGAACTTGGCTATTGGTTTTGATGTGCTTAGGGTAAGATGAGCCAGGAACATTAGCTTTAAATAAGGCCATGGCTTGGGTGAACATGATTATGACAATCTCAACTATGGGTTTGAAGATGGCAGGAAGGACCGAGTCGGGTGCTAGACCCTACATCTCTTTACTCAGAACTAAAATTAAGGAATGTTCCACCCTGAAGTCAGAGTGGCCTAAGCAGATGTTTAGTGATCAGACGCTGCTCCTGATTAGCAGTGGTGGGGCTGACTTGTATTCTTCGGGCAGGTGGAGCTGAACCGCAAGTACCGCATGCACTCTGTCCAGCCGAAGGTTGCCAGTTCCGTCTACATAAACTCGCGCAGTGTCTTCTTCAGGATGGAGCTGAAAGACGGTCGCTATGTCATCATTCCCACCACATTCGAGCCTGGTGAAACGGGAGACTTCCTCCTCAGAGTCTTCAGCGATGTGCCTTCAAACTGCTGGTAAGAGCTTTGTCCAAATCATTTATTTATTTATAACAGGTATTTATATAGCACCGACAATTTAACACAGCGCTTTACATAGCGCACATTCACATCAGTCCCTGCCCTCAAGGAGCTTACAATCTATGTTCCCTATCATATATACAAGGGCCAATTTAGACAGGAGCCAATGAACCTACCAGCATGTCTTTGGAGTGTGGGAGGAAACCGGTGTACCCGGAGGAAACCTATGTAAGCACAGGGAGAACATGCAAACTCCTTGCTAGTGACCTGGCCGGGATTTGAACCTGAGACCCCCAGTATTGCAAGGCAGAAGCGTTATTCACTATTCCACTGTGCTGCTTCATATCACGTATTGCTGCTCTGCCTGTGTGGAGAACATGAAAGACGGGTGTTCTAAAACCCCCAAAGGGCAACGGTAACCAGTTGAATAAATACAGTGAAGCATGAATAAGATATTTTTTATCTGTCAGATTAGTAAAGGAATGCATATACACTAGTGACCCCCCACTACTGCTACGCTATGCATAGGAGGGTGACAACACTTTGAAGAGTCTGCAGTGCCGTAGTGACCATACCACTATTCTGCTGTCTCCCTACTTTTGAGAGTACCAGGGAAGATCACTGCACTTGGTGTTCTTAGTTCTCCCTTAAAGACCATATCACTCCCTCCCACCCATTCACCAGCATTTATAACACATAAAATTGCCTTCTGAAACTCTTTAACTCTTGTTTTACTCGCCTGACTCTGCTGTCCATATCCCCCGCTGGAGCCACTTCCGAGAGTGACCCAGTTCTACAGTCTGTGCCTGCCCTGCCTGGTCACCTCTTCATGATGTCCTCTTGCTTTGTGGTTTTCCGGAGTCTGAGATGACCCATCGCTGGACAGCCAATAGGAACTGTCCACATTACCCAGGCAGTAATGTGGAACACTGAAGAAGGATCCTCCTCTGCAGTAAAGAAGATCGAAGACTCAGGAGCCGGCTCGTCATTTGTCCATTTATTTAGTTAAGTAAAAGGGGGAATTTAGGTTAGTTTTTTTTATTTATTTATTGACCCTATGTAAAAGGTGACCCTCTTACATAGGGTCACTTCTATACACTGGCACTAACTGGAGTCTCAGATGACTCAACAACCAATAGGAACTGTCCACATTACCCAGGCAGCAACGTGGACAGCTGAAGAAGGATCCTCCACTGCAGTAAAGAAGATACACACTGTGCAATCTTCTGGAGTCCAGGAGGACCTGCCACTGGACAGCCAGTAAGTATGGTGATCCTCTTGCTGTCCTCATGATGTCCTCTTGCTGTGTGGTTTTCCGGAGTCTAAGAGGACCCATCCTGGACAGCCAGAAGGAACTGACCACGTTACCTAGGCAGTGGAAGAAGAGCCCTCCTCTGCAGTAAAATAAAGATGAAGACTCAGGACCTGGAGCATCATTTGTGCATTTATTTAGGTAAGTAAAAGGGGAATTTTGGTCAGGTTTTTAATAAGGTGACCCTCCTCACTGCTATACACCGACACCAATTGGTCACCTCTTTCTGATATTCTCATGTTGTGTGGTCTTCTGGAGTCTAAGAGGACCCATCACTGGGCAGCCAATATGAATTATCCACATCAGCCAGGCAGCGACATGGACATCCCAAGTTGGACCTTCCACCTCTGCAGTTAAGAAGATAAAAGACTCAGGAACCAGCGTGTAAGTTTACTATGGGTTTAGGTAACTACAAGGGGAATTTAGTCTAGGTGCTTAATAAAGTTATCCTTGTATACCAATGTAAGAGGCCCTTCTTCACTGACCATCAATATAAGGGGGCACTTCACTGACCATCAATATAAGGGGGCACTTCACTGACCATCAATGTAAGAGGCCCTTCTTCACTGACCATCAATATAAGGGGGCACTTCACTGACCATCAATATAAGGGGGCACTTCACTGACCATCATTGTAAGGGGGCACTTCACTGACCATCAATGTAAGTAGGCACTTCACTGGCCATCAATATAAGGGGGCACTTCACTGACCATCATTGTAAGGGGGCACTTCACTGACCATCAATGTAAGGAGGCACTTCACTGGCCATCAATATAAGGGGGCACTTCACTGACCATCA